ACACCAACGTACCAATCGTGTTGTTTTTCAAAGACAAAGTGCCAAAGCCCAGCACTTATCCTGTACTGAGAACGCTACGACAGTTCCTAGATGTGTAATTTGTAGCTCTCCATGGCAACGCACCCCCTTTTCAGCAAACCCTGGCTCTCTTTTAAGGCTCTTGCGATGTCCGCAGCTCGCGAGCTGACTGAAACTGGCAACCGCTGCTTTGTACGAAATGTGGAATCTGGATTAATCTGCTACCCGACTGTCAAGCTGTATAGTAAAGAACGAATCAATCTGCTGCGCATAGACACGTAGCTCGGCCAAACAGGAGCGACCCAACGAGAGCCTGTATACACCAGCCCAGTTGAGCTTCAATTCGGGTGGCGCAACTTTTCCTAATGGTTAGGAAAACTTGCGTCATACGCACGGCAGTCGCGTGTTGCGGTGTCCTAGAGCGAAGACCACGGACAACAAGTAAAAACGTGACTCCGCTCATTGGCGAGGGGCTTCAGCATTCGTCAGCTCTGATCGATCCCTGAGGTCGACGAATCTTCGAGTGGGTGGCATCAGTAGACCATCCGAGCAGGGTCGTAGGCAGAATTTTTTTAGGGGGGGGGGGGGGGCTAGGGGGCATTTTTTTTTTAATTTTGAAGGGCGAGCGGGGGGAGGAGGGCAGGTATTTACTTAAAATGGCCATTTCTCGTTCTACATGCCATGGCGAAAACAATTTTGGGGGGGTGGGCACGTGCCTAGTGTGCTGACCAACGCCACTGAGTTCGAGCACATACCACTTCACGGAGCAAAAGTAGCATTAGCTATTTAAAAAAAGCGATAGGAAATGCCCCAGGCCGTGACATGTGCTGACGTAACATTTTGGGCAAGTGTGTTTTGGCCACTTTGCTTTTGCATCCGCGGGTTCCCACTCCCCAGAGGACACGGAAGAAGAAAGACGAGAGGAAGTGTGATGACTCTCTCCAAAATCATTGTACTTGAAGGATACAAAAAGGTTTCCAACAGATTTTTCGCGAAAACAACATATCCCAGTAATTATACCATTCCATAATTGTTTCAAAAAGTGTTTCCAGGCTCTTTTTGTGGCTACGCAGTTGGGAACCAAGACTGCTCATCAACTATACTGTCGTCTTAGACAGCAATGTAAAAAGAATGGTGACAATGGTCTGACACGGGGGGACGTTCTACGAGCGTTACGAATTTGTAATCAGTCTTAGTTTGTGTTCTGCTCAAAGGTGCACTAAAGAGAAAAGCGATTTTCGCGTATTAGTAAATTATTTCTTTAGGATACCAAATCACCCGGCTTGCGGCGAGAGGACGTCTAGAAAGCGAGAAAAGAGGCACAAATACCATTTCACTCAACGCCAACTTGCAGTTTCCTCAACATTCGCAGTGGTGACCAGGGGCTCCAGAAGTACATCGGATGTGCGGGGGTGACGTTTGTGGGCAGGGATATATATATATATATATATACTACTGCCTCCCCTGTTCCGGAGCAGCGCTTACCAGTACCTGCTTAGCTCCTAATGTGTAAAAAATTAGGCAAATTATTCTATGAGGGGGCCTTAGACTTTACATACTAAGTTTGAGGAAATTTGTTGAGCAAGTGGCGCCAAAGTACAGTAAATACGTTTTAAATTCGTGACGTCACGCCTGGATATGTCGGCGCCAAATGTAAAAGCAAAACTTTGGCCTTTATTTTTTCCTTTATCAAAAAACCTTTTTTGTGAAATCAAGGACATTAGAGTTCTTGGAGTACAATTTATCAATCTAAGCCGACCTATCATTATACTTTAGTGTTCCTTCAAGGTTCAGATGCAGATAAATATATCTTGTTGAATAGAACTCGAGGAAATAGGCTCGAGACAAATGGTTTCAGATAATTGCGACTTCAGGGGCACCAGACATAGATTAGGAGTCTAGAATTTGTGCCACTAACAGCGTCCTACAGGCCTTACTGTTTTTGCACTAAGGAAAACCAGACACTGAACCATAGCTCAAAAGAAACAAACGTTGCTGTTGCTTTTGTGGAATGCATCTCAAAACAATGTAATGCTGGTTTACTTATTCAGGGAAAATCGAGTTGAAACTAGGTTTCGTTCTACTAAGCTAAAGAAGCCGTTTTTAAGTTCTATTTAGTGCCGTCAAAAACAAGTTTACTGGTGTTGAAAAGACCAAAATAAGAGAAGGATGTCTGTAACTGCTTCATAAAAAGTACGTATGGCCTTCAGTGGCTGCCAGAGTAAGGTACTACGAGCTATACCGCATGCAATTACTGCGTAGACATGACTTTCTTGAGAGCCCACAACAGAAGGTGAGCATTTTGAACTTGAAAAACACGTTACAAGGAAAGGAAACCCTATATTCTTGCAAGAACCACACCAAAAGCTGCCTGGGACGCCACGTTAAGAAAGCAATAAAAAGGAAGAGACTATTTTATAAGAAAAAAACGTTTGTAATTTAGCTGCATACACTACGATGCAGCATTCTATATATTAGGGTAACGCAAACGAAACCTCCTAACATGAATGTATCGTAAGATATTCAGCGGTAAAGTTTACTCATTTGAATGGCTGTAAGTTGCTGTCGAGTTCTAGGCGATGCTTATAGCTCCAGCTCAACATCCAACGCCAAAAATAGTAAAAAAATGTATTTCATGTTTTCTTTGTCGTTTTTCTATTTTTTTAGGTGACAGCTATGATTAAGACGCCTCTGATCAAACATGACTCATTCGAAGTTGCGTAACGTTATCTAGGAGCCATGAAACAATACATCAGTTCCTTGTTATGCTTTACTTACCGTCACCTATACCGTAAAATGAAATAAAGAGATAAAACCCTTACCTGTGGCGTATGTGGTCATATTCAATTAAGTTTTCCTTGGCATCAATCGTAACGTTATTCACCAATGCTCCATAGTGTTTCGCTAGGAATGAATGAGAAATGAATGAAGAGGTGACTATAGAAATACATAAAACAGCACCAGCCACAACAGTGCTACAGACCTGGGAATACTGTAGCTCTATAATAGGCGTGATAATATCTCGTTTTGTATATATCTCCTCCAATCGCGGGTGTTTCTTTGCTGTGTTATTTTTTTACCATGGGTCTCTCAAGAACATTACAGCACTTGACGTCAAGGGTAAATAGCCTTTTACAAGCACTGTGCTGCATCAACGTCATATATGCTTTTGTCATCTCTCTGTTCATGCAGCATGTGCATCGGCAAGAGCAATCATGCATTCAATACGTTTCTCCTAGACACTGCTATTATAGCACTCTACTTTTAAGCTCAAGAAAAAGGAGATAAAGTTTATTTACAGCGGTGATAAAGGAGGTATTGCTGGACATCACAAAGAAAAACATGTGCCATAGATCGCGCAATATTTCTGAGAAAGATGACGCAAGAAAGTGGAATGCTGCCCTAATACATATTAAAATACTAGCTAGTCTTCCAAACTCGTTACTTTTCGAAGTCATAATGGTATGAATGGGGAGCTTTCGTGGCTTGTATGGTATAATAATGATTGTTGGGATTTAACGTCCCAAAAGCACCACATAAATATAAGAGACGCTGTAGTGGAGGGCTCCGAAAATTCCTACCACGTGGGGCTCCTTAGCGTGAACAAATATCTATATAAGCACATGGGCTTCAAGCATTTTCGCCTCCATCGACAATGAGGCCACCACGACTGGGAATCGGTCCCGCAACCTGCGGGTCAGCTATAGATTACCGTGGCGCATTGTGGCTTCTCTAGTAATATGTTCATAATCTTCAAGTCTTCAATAAGGTGGCGGTGGCAACAATTTTCTTAAAACATCCTGGCGAATTCGTCTTTGTTATGCATCAGATTGTCTCATCTTCAGTTGGAAATGATTTGTGTATTTGTGTTTTATCTTTTCCTTTTCTGCAATTTCTTCTGTATTTTTTTAGGAAAAAACCCTGCGGCACACTGACGTGTTGGTACTTTAAGATTACCTCTGCTTCAACATTCATAAATTGTACGGGTGCCTTCATCGCCATGAATTCAATATGAAAAATCTTGGATAATAAAACCTCTCAGCCCAGAATTTTTCGCATGTCACCACCATTTTCTGGGAACTCGGAAAAAACTTGGTGTAGAGGATCACTAGACGTAAAGGCAACCTTTCCATGGAGCGGCCATTACACTGGTACTCCATATGTTTTTCGTAGCGCGAGCGACTAACCAATCAGTGTTTGTAGCGCCATACTTCCAACGTGCGGTTGCTGTAGATAATGTCATGATTCAGTGGTATCGTCTCTGTTTGTGTAGATTGTAAGAATGTCATACATAAAACTGCAATCATTTTCGTTCTGCTCTTTTGTTACAGATATTTCACGGGTTTATCTTTCAAACGCTACCTATAACTAGCCGCTCACTTCGAACAGCATAGGTGTAACTCATATTTTCATTTTCGTTAAAAAGCATGAGCAGCCTTTTCTTTTGTTTGCTTTGGTAATTACGTCTCCTATAGTTGACTTGAACTACAACTACTACTACTACTACTACTACTACTACTACTACTACTACTACTACTAGTAGTAGTAGTAGTCATAATAATAATAATATTAATAATAATAATCTTCTGGGTTTAAACGTCTCGAAACCACGATACGATTATGACAGACGCCGTAGTGAAGGGCTCCAGAAATTTCGACCACCTGGGGTTCTTTAACGTGCAGCTGACATGACACAGTACACGGGCCTCTACCATTTCACCTCTATTTAAATGTGACTGCCGCAGTCGGCCGGGGCCGAACTCATGACCTTCGGGTCAGCGGTCGAGCAGCCTAACCTCGCCAAGGCGGACTCGTGTAGTTGAAGACTTCGTTAGGTTGTTCAGTCAGTTACCAATTCGTAATACTTACCATTGCGCGTTCTTTTGCATTTTCTATTGCAGATAAAAGCGGACTGCAGCCAACGCAGTAGCACTCAAGGCCGAAAACCGAAGAACAGCCTCCACGAGCTCTTGTGAGCCATTATGACGATGGAGCCGATCGGGGTCGGCAGCCAGTTTGTAACCCGTGCGTACAGCATGACCAAGGATGTTCCCGTTTTCAGCATAGCCTGTCCAAGTCAGCAATCTCTCCACTCTGGCCATCACCACACAGGAAGTCTACAGCAGGGGCCTTCCGACCACGCTTCAACAGCTTGCATCGACGATGATGGTGACCTCCTTCTATTCACCGACGCGAACAGGTTCTTCAGTGACGAAGCCAAGAGACTACTGGCCCTGCGAGGTAGGCTTTGTGGATTCGACAATGACGAACCAGCACTGTATTCGGACAGTTCCATTGGATCGGGAACTGGTGGCGAAACTTCTACGCTCGTTCTTGGGAAGAGAAAACATGGTGGTGCTGGCGGAGAGGTCTTATCTGCGACGTCAGCGCCAGCTTCAGCAGCCGCGGCACCTCCCGTAATCGTCAAGAAACGAAGGCTCGCCGCGAACGCCCGTGAAAGGCGGCGCATGCACGGCCTAAACGTCGCCTTCGATCGACTGCGTCAAGTTGTACCTTCCATCGGCGACGACCGGAAGTTGTCCAAGTTCGAGACACTTCAGATGGCCCAGAGCTATATCACGGCGCTCACCGATCTGCTCGTCAGAGATTGCTGAGGAAAAAATCGCCTTTTGCACCCTTTCATCCCCATTGTGTAACGTCACCACATGGAACAGAGTCTATATGACAAAAAAAAAAGTCTTACATTACCACTATTTGTAACAGACAATCTCATGCAATGCTTATCAAGAACCTATCATTCACTTAGATAATAACATTAGCCCAAGTGTCCGACTGATGATAAAGAATGCTTACGAACAAATACTTTTGTGAATATAATATGAATTAGTACCGCAGACAACCGGAAATACGTAACTCATGTTCTGTCGTGGTGCCTAAAACTAAAATCTAAATGATTCGCTGCAAAGGTGCACATAATAGAAAAATCACTAATAACACGAAGCTGTCGCAAAACCGTTGCGGACTTTGTCTGTTTATTGTCCATTTTGTCGTATTTTGAATATCTGGTATTTGTGGACTTCTGCAGCGCGTTATTTATCCTTCGCTATAACATATCAATCAGTGCCAGTTTAAGCTCTTTTGAATATCGGCTAGTAGATTTTTAAGCAAGCCTAACTTGTCTAGGAAAGCCCACTGGCTCACACTTCCCCAGTACTTGGCAATCAAGCTGCTCGTTAGTAGTGAAATGTTGAGTTAAGCGGGCAACTTGAGTGTCAGACCTAAAGATATTATGAATGTGTGACTTATAAATCTTGTACGTGACAAAAACATATATGAATAGGTTAAATTGCAAATTAGAATGAAAAAAAATTGTACATGTCTGCATTAGAAATACAACTACGAAATTTCAGTAGCGAGTTCTTGTGTGCGGACCAACCTTGCAAAACTTCGTTACGGTATAAGTAAGCCGCTCAAGTACACGACTTCGGTCCTTGTTTACGGAAGGCAATGGTTATAGCAAAGTGCAGTTAGGCAGAAAATATGTATATGGACGTTATTCTCAGTATGAAAACGTAGCTAATCGAAGAATTGCCTTTTTGCGATACGAGGTCAACTGTGTATTTCAGCAACTCTGCGTTGAGTATGGGTTTACGTTTGTAAAAAAAATCTGATCGTGCCACTGTTATTATTTATCACATAACCGTGTTTTATTGACAATTTTTTTTTCTGAGTGGTGGCAGCTTATCGCAATTCTAACTTTACGCGTTATTTATCGCCGCCATTCTAGGGTTACCGTCAAGATATGTACGAAAACGAGGCACGTAAACTAAAGCACTACACCCAACTCACCTGGTAAATATTCAAATGATATTTCCACCAAAAATATAAATCAATTATTCGTTACAACTAGTAGTTTCCCAAATAGCAGTAGGTGAAGATATGGTTACATTAACTAAAATCAAACTACTCAATGCTTATGATGCGAAAAATGAGCCGCTTTATGCTTATCAGCATTTGTTCGCGTAAATTCCAACCAATCATCTATATTTTAATTAGCAAATGAGGCAAGTTGGTTGCAATTAGCGTCCACGAATCAAAGTTATTGGGAAGTTGAGAGTGAGGTTTGTTCAAAGATTTTTTATTACAATTTAAGTGAGCCGTCACATTCAAATGTCCGCCTTTAGGATTTTAAATACGGATCAAGTGATAGTTATTAGATTAGCGGTGGCACGCGAGAGTTTGCTACTGAAAGACAAGGTGCACAAAATATATTGATATTTTATTCTCAGCAGGTATTGTACTAGAAATGCTAGTGAGAAAGCCCTCTCGGGCAAAAAATATTTGCCCGATGACTACCCACCATGGCGTGTCTTCTCGTCTTGTGATATCGTATAATTTTGTGCGTTCATCTATCGAGTGTTGTAAATAGCACATGAGGAAGCTACTTAACATTTTCTCCCACTGCCGAGCACAATTTCGTTACACTGCATGCAAGCAGTGTGACAGCATTGCCAAGAAAGAAGTGACAAAGATGCCAAATGCAGAGTATATATATTTTGCCATCATGACAGACGCCCGACGTCTATAACAATGCCCTGTCTAAAATATATATTTTTACCATATCAGCATCGTTTCTTTGTGTGTTATTCAAAGGATACCCATGCATGCTTCTTTGGGCGTCCTTAAAAGAGAGCGGAAACGGAAGAACATTTCATGTTATCCCTCGTATACTTCTCCTCGCTTGCACACACACAAAAAAAACGGAAGACCGAAAAAACTGGATCACGAGGGCGGAAAATGCTTGATGCAGTCGATATTGCAGTACGTACGTCAATTGTGCAGAAAAAAAAAAAAACGTGGGCGCAGGAAAAAAACAAGGTTGGGACCCCAAAGAACTGAGAGCAAAATTTTCTTAATCAACTTTTTTGCGTAATTAAGAAGCTCTCGCCTGCATCATTTAGCTACAAATTTACAGTTTCTTGAGAGCATCACAAGTATTTATTGTAGTGATTCAACGTGGCCTTTTGAACATGCACGTCAAGCGGAGTGCGGCTTCGCTCGGGAAAACTGTAACAACTCTCCATAAACGCCGTTAAAATGTTGAAAGGCCGTATACCACTCGCACCACTCCCACACAGACCAAGACGCTGAACTCTGCGCACAATACTCACAGTTGGGTGCTTTTCTTTGAACATTCTTTGACATTTCTTTGAATATAAATTCAGATGCAAGCAGCTCTTTGACTAGCCTGTGTAATGCTGTCCCTCCGTCCGCAACACTCCCCTCGCCGCAGGAGTTGGGGCGGTGCCAAATAGCGAACACCCTCCAAGCAGTGCGTGGTGACGTCTCTCTCCCTCGCCTGCCATGCACTCGCAGCGTGTCAGCTCTCACTTGCTTCCCCCTCTCCACCGCTCGCAGGGCACGAGCCCACTCCTCACGTGGGCATCATTTTACCCGCGCCACCTCTCTCTATATGTCGGCGAGAAGAAGACGCAAGGCTTGCCTATTATTACAGGCTTGCTTTTTTTTTTTTCAAAAGGGCTATGGCAAGAGCGGAGGACCCCAACAGGATCGCGCGTTCACGTGTCTGATCTTCTTCGGAAATACACAAATGTGCTTTTTCGTAACGTGACTTATAGAATGTAACTTAGACTAGCTAGCTTGGAATTAGCTTTGATAAGTTGAATTCCCGTTTATTCGCTTCGACTAGCTGAATTGGTAGTAATGCGGTCTGGGTGCGCTAGTCACCAGCTTGAAAAGCAGATCAGTGAATTTCTAAGCCCAGTGACTAATCACAAAGCAAGTGATATTCTTTTCAGTTCTTCTTGTTGACTTCCCTGTGAAAGCTTTCGAGAGATAATGCGACATATCTGTATACCAATAGTATTATTAATCATGTTCGATTATACAGAAGAAAGAGGCAACTTCACAGTTACATTTTGAGATGTTGCAGCAATGGTTGAACTGCCTGTTTAAAACGGTAGAAAACTTCATATTAGGGAGATGACGTAAAGCGAGCATGTCATCTAGAGATTTTTCCAAGCACTACCAAACTATTTGCTGCCGTATTGAAGCAAATCGTCTTCCAACGTTCAGCCACGGCAGTGCTGTGAGCTGTTGGATGGCAGTATTGACTGCTTTGATGCATTCAGTGCTTTCATGAGATTTTTCATGTGATTTTTTGTGTGACTATTTTTTAGTGTGTTTTTTCCTATTCTTTTAACCTTCCTCCTCTCTCTCCTTCTTTGTTCTCTTATTTCCTGTATGCCTCCCTTTCCAAAGGAGCAGGCAGGCGTTGTGCCCCTATAGGTGGCAGTTGTCAGCATGTTCTCTTCATATTTCTTCTGTGTGCGTGTTTACTGTGCACTCAGATCAGATAATAATAATAATAATAATAATAATAATAATAATAATAATAATAATAATAATAATAATAATAATAATAATAATAATAATAATAATAATAATAATAATATTAATTTAGAGCTTTAACGTGAATACTTGGCGCATTAACACGGACGTGGTGGAATAAAGCGACACCACAGTAGTAAAGTGCTAGGCTTCTTTCTCTCGATGCACCCTTTCAATGGAGAGCTCAAAAATAGGTGCACCATAAATATTCGAACTGGAATGATGTCGTTCGTACGCCGCAGAAAAAAATAGAAATGCTAATATGCTGTACATTCGAAAGTTGTGAAAGCATTTTTTAGCTTTTACCAACTACTACATTAGATAATTGTTTGGGCTGACACTCATATTATGATCATACCTTCTGAAATAGAAAGACAAATCTCCTAGAAATAAAACAAAGTGCTTTTGAGTGTGACTGGATGATCAGCCTTTGTCGGAAAAAAAGATTTTGGGTCATTGGCTGAGCCCATTCTCAGCCCAGAAGTAAGGCTTTGAAAGCTTTGCTGTGCTTTTTGCGCACAACTGGCCTCAGAGACAGACTTTAGTGTCTTATACTCTTTGATGTTGCCTTTCCTCTGTCGCTATTTGTTTTTTTTAATTCTCTCTCTCTCTTCGCATCATTTCTTTTCATAATCCTTTATTCCTCTCAAGCCTCTCCCCAGCCCAGGGTAGCCAGCCGGTCTAAGAACTGGCTATCCTCCCTGTCCTTCCGCTTAAACTTTCTTTCTCCTCCTCCTCTCCTTTTGAGTGAACTCACTATACCGGAGAATAGACTTCTACTTTATTGCACTGAAAATTGTTGACAGGAGAAAAGTTTGCGCTGATATGTAGGCATTAGCTGCGAAATCATTAGTTGCAAATAGCTTACAGCCATGGTCGCCATGAAGCAAAATCAGCCGTTTACGCAAACAGAACGGCTCGCAATCGAACCTGTCCATCGCACAACGTAAGTAACATTTTCTTTTCTCGGATCGCTGCTATCAAAAAGGTTCCCCGTTTTTTATTTCATACTCGAATAGAGTCCTGACAAGAGAGAAGGTTAGATTTGTTATGACAGAAAAGCTGAAAGGTGAGCCTAATACAGTTTTTCCAAAAAACGTGACTCTCATGTATTTGCGAATATGAAATGAAGTTCGCAAATAACATCAGAGACAAAGTAACGAAAAACGCTTCCTATATATAGTTCGTTCGGCACAATGTAACTGTACTTGAAGGTCTTCGTTGAAGCTATGCGAGCAGTGTG